GCGCGAGCCTGCGAGGAGAGGGGGAGGGACGGAGCGGGGGGGAAGAGGGAAGGGGGGGGGAAGGGAGTTGCAGAGGAAGGGGGGAGGAGAGAGGAGGGACGCGGGTGGGAACTCTTGGATCGCGTGTCGCTCCGCCCGTTCTGGCCCACCCCGCCTCGGCGCGACACGCTGTCCACATCCCGGCCCCCCAGCGTGAACGTCCCGAACCCCGAGCCTTTCCGAGCTGCCCGCCCCGCGGAACGGAGCGACACGCCGTCCGCTTGCAAGGCTTAGCGTGTCCCCCGGGCCGCCGCGGCGACACGCCAAACAAGAGTTCCCGACAAGAATGGATAATGGAGGAGGCGGGAGGAGGAGGCTGCGCTTGTGTGCCCTATATGGTTGCAGTCCTTTTCGAGAGAAGCTGCGAATAGATATGGATCCCTCTGCCACGCTACCTGTGGACATTCCAGACCCGAACCTCTCGATTAGAAGGCGCGCGCGGCGGCGTCAGCATTCTCAAGAGGGGGCAGCCTTGAAGTTCCGGTGGCTGAGTCATCGCTGTTCGACGTCACCAGAGTGGAACGGGAGCACAGAACGGGGACCGTTCGGAGGAAGTTCTGGGCGATGAAGTAAGTCTCTTTTTGAAGCAGAATGCGTCTGTCATCAAGGGGCTGAAGTTGTTCGACTCTTCTGCTGTGGGCTGCATGCTGTACGGAGCGGGTTCTTGGACGCCGAGAGCTGCAGAATACAGCGCAATCAGGTCCACCCAAGGCAAGATGACGCGACGCAGACGCGGTTCCTGGCCAGCACCTGGCGAGCCCTGGCACGAGTGGATCATGCGCACGACGCACAAATCTAGGCAGCAGGCGCAGCGCGCTGGCGCATGGGACTGGGTGCAGGCACATTCTAGGAAGAAATGATTATGGGCTGGCCACGTGGCCAGGATGCTTGCGACGACACGGGCATGGTCATGGAGCCGCCCCTCCCCCGCCCATTTCGCCTCCGCCCCGAGCATAATTACAGGACCCCACCCAAGGGATCGAGAGGCCACCCTGCGGAAGGAGGAGGAGGAGGAGGAGGAGGAGGAGGAGGAGGGGGAGAAGGAGGAGGAGGAGGAGGAGGAGGAGGGGGAGCAGGAGGAGGAGGGGGAGAAGGAGGAGGAGGAGGAGGAGGAGGAGGAGGAGGAGGGAAGGACGAGGGGGAGAAGGAGGAGGGGGGAGAAGGAGGAGGAAGAGGAGGGGGAGAAGGAGGAGGAGGAGGAGGAGGAGGAGGAGGAGGAGGGGAAGGACGAGGGGGAGAAGGAGGAGGGGAGAAGGAGGAGGAAGAGGAGGGGAGAAGGAGGAGGAGGAGGAGGAGGAGGAGGAGGAGGAGGTGGATCGGACGATCAGGCCCGAGCCCCAGGTCAGCCCCGTGCTGGAGCCCGCTCGCCCCTCCCGGCGCAGCGGCGGCGCCGGTGCCGGGCCGCCGGGCGTGGAGGCTCCGCCCCCGCTCGCCGTCTGCCCGGGGCTGCGCCCCTCCGCCCCTCTCGGGGCTCGCAAGGGACCCAGAGATCCATCGCATTGAAAAAATCAAGACGGAGGTTTTTTTTTAAGTTTTGGGCCTCTGGGGGCCCTCGCCGGGCCCCAGGACCGTCAAAAAACGACTGAGGATGAAAAGCCGGTCCTGGGGAATGGGTCGAGACTTCTGGGACCCCGCATTGAGAAAATCATGACATCGGATCTCTGGGGACGGGGGTCAGCCAGAGCGCCAGATCTTGCAGGATCCTGCAGGGCCAGGGTCGCATTGACCCCAGTTTGGGTGCAGCATTCTGCAGGATCTTGCAGGATCGAGGCCTCTCGGAGCCCTCGCCGGGCCCCGGGACCGTCCAAAACCTCGGTCCCGGGGCAGTGGTCGGGAGGTCGGGGGCCCGCGTCTCGACAAAACGCTATGAACATAATTTTTTGCGCTCCGCGCGGGTTTCTTGCATCCGCGCTGGGCCCCCCAGCGGCGCCTCCAGCGCCGCCCCTGGCGCGCTCCGCGCGCCAGGAGGGAGGTCCGGCGCAGATCCAAGAAATCTGCGCGGAGCGCCAAAAGTTTATGTTTATGGCGTTGTTTCTTCTTCTGCTCTTGGAGCATCGCACTCCGTCAGCGGCCTCTTGGCCTGTGCACGAGCCGAGGATGCGCCCCCCAGGATCTGCCTGTGCGGCAGGTGTACGCGTTCGTGTCGACCGGCGGCGACCCCGCCGCCAGCGTTCCCTGCTGAATGCCGCCTGCGACCCAAAGTCGGTCGACGTTGAACGACCTGACGTTCTGGAAACGACCGATTGCCAGAAGGGGGAAAAAATGACAGACACTATGAATCGTCGATTCCCTGGAGAAGATGGGAAAAGATGGAAGTGTGGGTGGGGAAGAAACATGGACATGGGAAAATAAGGGGAGGAGCCGGCGTGCACGCTTGCGGCCAACGCGTTGTGGGGGCCGCGTTGCGGAAGCCCCCTTGGAGGCTCCCGCAGGCCTCCTCCTCCTCCTCCTCCTCCTCCTCCTCTTCTTCCTCCCGCTCCTCGTCCTCCTCCCCCTCCTCCCCCTCCTCCTCCTCCTCATGCCGTAGCCATTTTGGCTCAAGCCATTTTGGCTCAAGTTGCCATTTGTCAAGGCAGCTGGCCAGGACAGCTTGTTGCCACTGGTGGGGCAGCCCAGGTCAGGCTCCCCAGTGGCCCTTCTGCGAAGTTTGTGAGCTCCTGCTGGAGCATTTCCACGATTCCGTGCGTTCCATTCGTCGCGCCATGTCTTGGCGGTCCTGGCACCGTCAGGCGCCGTGGCGGAAGGGGCGACGCAAGCAGTATGGCGGCGAGTACGACGTGTGCAGTGTGTGCTCGCACTGGGAGTTCAAGTTCTACGGCAATGCGTGCTGCACGGTGTGTGGCGGTGCATACTATTCTCGGCTTCCTGATGGCGCTGGTGTTCCTGGTGCTGGAGGTGGCCAACGTGACGTGGGGCAGCCTGGTGCTCCACCTGCTGATCAAGGTGATGCTCTTCGTGCTGCGGCGGCCCTCCTGGTGGCAGCCCAACCTGATCTGCGTGGTGGGTTGGCGGCCTTCATCCAGGCTCCGCCGCCCGCTGCGGTCCCATGGACGGCCTCCCAGCTGGCCAGTGCGGCTTCCGCGGAGCGTACTCGGCTGGCTCGGGTGGCGGAGGATGCTGCCAAGGCCGTCAGGCTTGCCTTTCAAGTTCTGCAGCAGAAGAAGTCGAAGTACACCAAGCTCGAGGAGCAGTTGTGTGAGGTCCGTGCTGGTCTCGAGCAGTGTCGTGAAGCTGTTCGACTGGCTGAAGTGCGCAAGCTGGCGGCTGATGAGGAAGCTGGCCAGTTCGATGAGGACGCGCGCGTGGGCAGAGAAGAAGAAGAGTGAGCAGAGGCAAGCGGAGGTGGATGCTCGCGCTGCCCAAGATGCTCAGCGTGACCAGGCACCTGGGGCTGCTCGCGGAGTCCCACCAGTCGCGGCTGGCGCTGAAGGTGCCCCTGCGCGACCTGGAGGTCCTGGCGGGCAAGGTGCTGCTCCTGCTGGTCCTCAAGTACCTGGTCTTACTCCCACGGGGCTGGTCGACTTCGGCTGGGTCGAGCAACACCTGCACGCCCTCGAGGAGCAGGATCTCGGCCGCTTCGAAGGGCGGTCCGTTTCAACATGGAGCAGTGGCGCAACATGCTCATGTGGGCCAAGTCCCAGAAGGCGGATATCGCCATGGAGTTCGATGATGAAATCAGCGATGCTGGCACTGAAGTTTCTGACGTGGGTGAACTACGTGATCTACGCAAACGGGCTGCAGAGCACGGACTGGGGCCTGAAGACTCCAGGAAGTATGGTGAGTTGCTCCAGGCCGCTGCCGCTGCCCGCGCAGGCAAGCGCGCTCGCAAGGCCGTCCAGCAGCGGATGGCCTCTGCGAGCCTTTCTGGCACCTTTTGTAGTGCAGCGGCCTTCCAGCTCCAGTCCATTCCCCCGAGCGCTGGAGGCGCATCGGGGAGTGAATCGCAGCTTTAGCCAGCGCGTGCCCGCCGAGTGGCGGCGGGCCAGGAAGAAGCGTGAGAAGATCAAGGTGTGCTTTGCGAACGTTACCTCCTGGTCGGTTCCCACGAAGTCCTACGTGTCGCAGTCTTTGTCCGAGGTCGATGCCTTCCTTCTCGCTGAGCACCATGTGCGGGCTTCTGCCCTGGGCAATGCGAAGAAGGATGCGCGTGCTATGGGGTGGGCCCCGCATTTTCAGGCTGCTCTGGATTCTCCTGGGGAGGTACTCACGGTGGGGTGGCGTTCCTGGCGCAGAAAGGGTTAGCGTCTCAGAAGTTCCTGACTCAGCGTTCTGGGACCATTCAAGTTGGTTGTGGGGCCTGCTGGCTTGTCCTGGAGCTGAAGTTAGACGGGCACTCCATCGCGATAGGTGTCTGCTATGTGGTGGCATCCATCGGCATGGCTGGTGAGAATCCGAGTCGGATGCGCGATATATGTCAGTTTGTTCGGGCCCAGGCGGCCCCTTGGATCCTCCTGGGCGATTTCAATAATGACCCTCAAGGGCTGGCTGATTCTGGATGGTTTGAGTTGACTAGGCCCCGCCCCTTGGTTCCAAAAAGCGTGGAGTTCACTTGTGACGCGGGTGAGACGATGATCGATTTCCTGGTATGTTCCAGAGACGTGCATCGCGCCCTTGATTTGAAGGCAGTCTTGACGGCTCCATTGAAGACGCATGCATGCCTGCTGGCTGAGATCGACGCCGACGTCCTTAGCATGGAGGTCACCAGGCGCGTGAGGTGTCGTGATATTCCCCGTGCTTGTGGCCCTGATCATGTCTGGCTGTACTATTGTAACATGGCGCTTAAGGATGACCCTCAGGCTCGTTTTCCTGGAGAGATGTCTGGCGCGTTCCTCAGGCATACCTCGGAAGTCCTTCCTCCTGAGCTCTCTCGGGCTTATGCGTTGTGGTCCAGGTCCGCGGAGTACGCGTTCGCTTCCAGGGCCTGTGCTACTGTGGATCTCCAGAGAGCTCTTGGGAGGGGCTTGGGGTTAGTTACTGTCTCGGGGTCTCTGTGGCGGCGTGGGGCTAGACTGCAAAGTTTCTCATGTGGGTATCTCTGATTCTGGTCCCTGGTGCGCTCGCGGCTTTATGGGTACTTGAAGTGCCTCCGCAAGGCCCCTGGGAGTAAATATACCTTGGACCTGAAGAGTCTGCTCAATCGTTTGTCTAACGATGTTTACACCTTTATTGAACCCTTGGATGAGCCTGGAGATGCTACCTGGTGGTCCGGGGCCCTGGCTGGTGACTCGAGTGCCCTTGATAGCGTTCAGAACATGGTCGACAAGGCCACGCATGTTTGTAGTAAGGCGCGGGCTGAAGCTCGTTCTGGCACTGAAGCAGGCATTCGCGAATGGCTTCGTGCTTGTCTCCCTGGTGGCGCTCCTAAGTTGCACCGGCGGATGAAGGTCAATGATCGGGTCACGGTCCGGTTCTTCAAAGGCTTTAAAGATGTTGTACAGAATCCCAAAGATATGATGGAGTACCGTGAGCAATGTTTGGGGAAGTTGGTGCACCCCTGATAGCGCGCGGCGCCGTTTGCTGGAAGAGTTTCTCGGAGAGTTGCGGGCTTCTGCACAACTTGCGGCCATGGAGGCCCCTGACCATGAGGTGAGAGATCTAGTGCAAGCCTGCCGCTGTTTTTCTGCTACGACGGCACTTGGAGCTGATCAATGGTCTCCTCGCGCTTGGCTGTCCGTGCCTCCGCATGGGCTGGATGGGGCCCTCCAGATCTTCCAACGTGTTGAGCAGGAACTGACGTTTCCATCGCAATGCTTGTTGAATAGCATGGTCATGTTGCCTAAGAGTGAGTGTGATGAACGTGCTGTGTTCTACATGTTACAGAGTATATGCTCGTATGCGTGGCGGCATGATTGATGACTGGAATCGTCAGCAAACCGATTGTTGGGACTGCGCGGTCCGAGGTTCGTCGGCACTTCAGAGCGCCTTGTTACGCGCCCTGTGCTTCGAGGTGGCCGGCAATCAGTCTTTTGAATCGTTGGCCGTCCACTGGGACATGGAAAAGTTTTTGTGTCGACAGCGTGGTTGTCTCCATGCTTGTGCAACTGGCTTTGCAGCTAGAGTATCCTCCGATGTTGTTGTGCCTGGGGATCCTTGTGCATTCCTCTCCTCGCGTTGTGGAAGTTGAAGCTATGTTGTCCAAGGTTATCCCCACAGGTAATTCTATCCTTGCTGGTTTTGCGCAATCTATGCCTTGGGTGAAAGCTTTATTGCAAGATGTCTTGCACCGTGCGCACCACCGCATTCCGCATGTTCCTGTGCAGTCGCACGTGGATGACATCACGCAGTTTGCGCTTGGCACGAGTAAGTATATCATGAGCGCGGTACCGTCTGCAGTGCTCCAATTCTTTCGTGACGTCATTGCATGTGGGTGCAAGGTCTCCACGAAGAGTGGAGTGGTGGCATCTTCGGCGTCCCTGCAGCGTGCTGTAGCTGATGAGTTCAAGCGGATGGATATCCCTGTTCGCGCCTCCGAGGCCATGAAAGACCGTGGAGTGATGTCGACGGCTGGGAGGAGAAGGTGCGCTTGGAAGGTTAGGTTGAGGAGGAGGACGGCGTTCAGGAGAGCTAGGAGGTTGCAGTATCTGGCGAAATTGTGCGGGGGGCCTCGGATGCTGTTCAAACCTGGCGTGTTGAGCGTCGGTAATTGGAGTCACAGTGGCTTGGGATTGCCTGTCTCTGAGGTCCAGTCCTTCCGTGCTGATGCGGCTAAGTATTCGGGCTTCTGGTCTCCTGGGATGTGTACTTCGACCGTGTTGACGATTCACCATCAGTATGCCGACGACCCCTCGTATATACTTCGTAGAGAGCAGCTTGGGGACCTGGCGTGCATTTGGAAGTCTTTGTCCCTGGGCCTTCGGAATGGTGCGGCTCGGACGTGGACCTCTGTGCGGGCTAGGCTGCTCTCTATAGCACCCAACCGTCGCTGGGCGACGGTAAAAGGCCCGATTGCTGCAATGGCGGCTGCCCTTTTAGATCTAGGTTGGGAGCCACTGTCCCCGACAAGATGGAGGACCCCCCTGATGGCGCTTGATGCTGAGAAGTCTGATTTCCTGTACTTCCTGGATTAATGCGTGAAGCATACGGCTTCTTTGAAGAACTGGACGGGTGCGAGCAAGCACTATTGCGGGGTCGGTGCTGATGAAGGTTTCAATGTTACCGTGTTCAGGCGCATGTATAGGAAGCTCGTGTCCGACGGTTTCCATCAGGATGCGGCGCTGCTGGCTTGCATTGTATGTAGTGGATGTTGGCCCGAAGCATGGCTTCGGCAGGCTGGCTACCTTTCTGGCGGAGTATGTCCTCGATGCGGCGCTGGTCAGGAAACAATGATGCATCGCGTTTGGCTCTGTAGTTGCAATGATACGATTGAGTCCACTGGTATGGGTCAGTCTGCACATTTGGTTCCTGGTGCCCAAGATGCCGCGCGTACGTGCCATGAAAGTGCCTTCTGGAATCGAGGGATCCCTACATTGGTTGCCGCCGTCAATCGTGTTCCGCCGCCAGCATCCTTGGTCTTCGGATGGGGTGTCTTATCTGCTGGACAACCTGTGTCTGGAGGCGTATGGGGCCTTGATGGCTCTGGGGACAAACACGCGGATGACTGGAGGCGTCGGAGGTGCGGTTGGGCCATGTTGCGTATGGATGATACCTCGGGTCCTGGCGATTTCAGATTTGATGGAGTCCTTTGCGGGACGTTACCTACTCGTGAACAATCCAGTCCTAGGGCTGAATTATATGCCTTGCTCCAGCTGCTGATCATGACCACGGGCAAAGTCGTGGCGTACTCGGACTACCTCCCCTTGGTCAGGGCCCTCCGCAGGCCTCGCGAGATGATATCCAAGACGTCTCTCATGATGGACTTATGGGCCAAGAGATGGGAGGCGATGGACTTGTACGGTCTGGTGATGTCGAATTGCAATGGACAAAAGCACATGCGACGGCTTCGTTGCGTGATGCCTGGGGCCTCAGCGAGGCCGAGTGTTTTTTGAATGCATGTGCTGATTATTTCGCTTGGGTGGCCGCTGCTAAAGGGGAGGTAGTCCCTGAATATGTCGAGCTAGTTCAAGATGTCGATTTGCTAACCTCCCAAGTGCTGTGCCGATCGCTGGACGTCAATCGGGAGGTTAGCCTCACTTGCCACCGCAACAAGGCCGAACGCGTTGGTCGGCCGCCACCTCGTCCGAGGTCGCTGCCCACCGACGTGGTCCGTCGGCGTCGGCTGCTTGGGGCTGGCCATTCGGTCGGGTCCGCTAAGAAAGGCCTGTTGCGGTGCCAGGTGTGCGGGCGTATGTTCAAGGCCTTTTGTGGGCCGCCTAGCCGATTTTCGGCCTGGGCGATGTACGGGCCCTCCTGCGCTGCGCGATGGCCCCGATGCGGTGATGGCCCATCCGTGTTGGTCTCGGGTGCACAGCAGCCATCAGTTGCATTGCCTGCGTGGGGTGCTGTGTTGCAGATTCTGCGGTCGGCATTGCGTTGACAAGGTTCAAGCGCTGGCCGAGCGGTGCCCACCTGAGGGCCCCACCAAGGCGGGCCGTGAGATGCTGTCCCGTATGGGGCGAGGCCTTCCCCCAAAGAGTGGAGTGAGGTTCCCGCCTGGGCACTGATTGAGCAATGTGGGTCTCCGTTTATCGGAGAGGGCCCAGAATTGCAAGGTCAAAAGGTCCCCCTCCTCCTCCTCCTCCTCCTCCTCCTCCTCCTCCTCCTCCTCCTCTTCCTCCTCCCCTGGCTCCCTCAGGCCCTCGTGGGGGCATCTTGGGCAGTCTGGCGGGGTCTCGCGGGCGCCTCTTGAAGGCCTTCCAGCCCGTCAGAGAGCCTCGAGACAGGGGAGAGAACGCCTCGCCAGTTGAGGGGGGCGTCTTGGAGGCCAAGAGTACACGCCTGCCGTTGAAAGTCGGTAAATTGGGATGCCCGAGTCCTAGTATACTTGGAGCGCCTTCCTACCTCAAGAGCCGGCATGTGTTTGCTATGCTTTGTTGTTCTCTGGGCTGGCCCGAGCCCAATCTACTTTAGCCGCCTTCCTACTTCATGTTTCCACGTACTTGTTGCGAGTGACGGGTAAACAAGCCACGATGTATATTGCACGGTGCGTTGTTTGTCCAAGTGTCCAGCCGCAGAGACGACAGAGGAGGCCGTTGCACGGTTCGGGCCCCGAAGTTGTGACCCCGTGCTGAGGTTGAGGAGGGATGGGGAGGCAGCCTCTCCCCAGGGCTTGGGCAGACTTGAGGGGGGAAGCCAGGGGAATGCTACATGTGCCCACAGGTCGCACAGAGGTCCGATTAGTTTCATGCCGCATGGAGAGTGCATGCCTTTTTGTGTGCCAATGCGCGTGCGCATATCCCCAGTATGGATTGCATACATCGGGGACGGCGCGAGTCTTAGCGTGCATACGCGGCAGACTAGTTCTACGGTTCAGAAAGTCAGAGACCTCCAGACAATGTACACACATGCTTGGCGCGGGCATGTATTGCAAGAGTGGCAGCGCGCGTTACAAATACAAGAGAACGTGCTTCAGGTTGAGTCACTGACCGACGTTGGTATGTGATGTGCGGAAGAATGGCGGACATTGTCATTGATTAAACGAGCAGCGGTTACGTGTTTCGCAAGAGTGCGGTGGCGTCTCGCTGGAGGAGACGATTGGTTGGTGCACATTGCATTGTCGCCGCTCACGATGATTCAGTGTACGGTGATGAGGTTTGTTTGTGCGCACATTCTCACACGGTTATGTCCGATGTTAGTGTGCCAGTATATTCACATCCCATACGCACGCAGCATGGTTGTACGGACATACCCATAAAACCGATAAAGACACACACGCGTATAAGGTATACTGTCTTGCCTAGCGAGGGACCCTATCACGCCTATGGTTTGTGTATTAAATACCGCTCTTCGCGTGCATACCATGTGTATATATATATGTATTATCGATGTATACCTGTATAATGTTGATGCGCACGTGCGTCGTGCAAATGTTGTATATGACAAGCTCTCTCTATATCACCCACTTTTCTTTCCATTGCGACGACACAACGCGTGTGCACGCAGGGTGGTTCCGACGCTACCTCTTGTGTGGCATATCGCGGGCCGTGTGGGAAGACGGAGAGACGGGGAAGGATGGATGGGGAGGGCACCTAGGCACGCACCCCGAACTCCTCCTCGTCGTCCTGCTCATGTCGCTCCGCTGCTGCTGCTGCTGCTGCTCCTCCCGGAGTTCCTCCCCCCTCCTCATGCGTCAGCACCTTCTCCTGTACCTCCTGATCTTGCTCCCGCCGCTGCAGCTCCTGGTCCGCCTCCCCTCCTCTCCTCCATATCTTCATCCCCATCTGCACCGCCTGATCCCGCTGCCGATGATACTGCTTCTCCTCCTCCGCCTCCTCCTTCTCCTCCTCCTCCCCCTCCTCCTCCTACTCCTCCTCCTTTTGTTGACGTTGAGCGGACTTTTCCAACGGAGTTGCAGCGTTTATCCTCCTCCTTTTCTCCTCCTCCTCCTCCGCCTCCTCCTCCTCCCTATGCGCCTCGCGGACAGGGGGGGAGTCTGGCCTAAGGCTTAGCCAGCCGAGCTGGGCAGACCAGGCGACAGGCAGGCTACGGCTTCATCTCGTCACCGACTTGGTAGCAAGATCCGGACCTCCGTCACTCCTTCACCTCCTTCTCCTCCCAGCTGCTGCTGATGCTGATCGCGCTCCCCCTCTGGACACTTCCAGAGGTCCCCAAGTTCCCAGGAGATTCCGAATGCCGCCGAACGCATCCGAAAGCCACCGAACGCGGCTCGAAGCATTCCTCTCTTCGTCTGCGCCGTCCTCGGCGGTAAGACAGCGCCCCGTGCAGGCGTTGATAGCGATGGGCTTCCCGCAGACCATGCGCGGGGGGTGGGATGCTCAGAGCATGCGCGGGATGAGATCGGGGTGCTGGAATACAGAATGGGGGCATGACTTCTGCGACCCATGCGCCCTGAATTGTCCTCTCTCTGCTTCTTTTGGTTCCCCTCCTCCTCGTTCCTCTCCTCCTCATCATCATCACCTTCGTCCAGTTCTTCCCAGATTAGCCTCCTCGCTGTCCTCCTTGTTCCACCCCTTGTCGTCATTGTCGTCGTCGCCCTCTACCCCCTCATCATCTCATATCTCTTCCGCATCGTTCCGACCACCTCGCGGCCAGTGGCCGGAGCATGCGAACATTGGGGCCACATCGACTGTTCTTGTAAGCCCGTTCCTCCTGGTGTCAGTGGGCTGGCGCCGCGAGGTGGCACACGAGCTCGAAGCTGATCCGTGCCTGGCACGAGGAGGAGGAGGAGGAGGAGGAGAAGGAGGAGGAGGAGGAGAAGGAGGAGGGGGGGGAGGAGGAGGGAGGAGACGGAGGAGGAGGAGGAGGAGGAGGAGGAGGAGGAGGAGTGTGCTGGGCGGGAGGGCAATACCAGGTGGAGGCGGTGGGGAGCGGGTGCTCGGCGGAGCACTTCGGGTGGGCGCCGTCGGCATGGACGAGCAAATCGGCTGGTTGCACCATCATATTTGGGAGGCCGCTGCGCGTGACGGATGTGGTCGACGTGCTCGTGCCGCCCAAGTCTACTCAAGAACGTCCTGGAAGCCTGGGGGTCAAGAGTGGCAAGATTGGCATCGTGCTGTCAGTGAGGTGCCCACCACCTGGCGGGGCCACTGAGAAGAAGGTCGCGGCACAGCAGGCGGCGTCCAGGGCCACACATGCCTGGATCGATTCCGTGCTGGATGGTGGCGGAGACATTTGCTGGCGACTTCAAAGGGGGACGCCAATCTCTTCTGGGGGATCTGGCGGAGCAGTTTTGCCTCACGATCCTTTCGTGCTCGCATAGTATATGGTGGCGCGAGGGTGGGCCCACGTACTTCGGGGCCGACGGTGTGACGAACAGTGTCAACCACTGGTTCATATCAGAGGCTGCGTTGGTGAACGCTCTTGGTTTCAAGGAGAGCTACTGCCACGGCAGGCGGTTCCAGCTCATACCAGATAGACGGTTTCGTGATAATTGTCCGTTGTTGCCCGTGCTGGGCTACTTGCTGGAGGCGCACGACGGCAAGCGCAAGAAGAATAACCACATCTCTTGGGACCCACAAGTTACACGCGCTTCCCTGAGGCGCTACATTCTGAGGAGTGCAGGGATAGAGTCCTACCACTGTTGGAGGAGGAGTTGACAGCTCACGCGGAGGAGTTCGCCAACCTACGCGAAGATCCTTGCGCTGACGGCCACTAGCGCCTGGCGGTGAGGTCGGCGCAGCATGTGGACCAGGAGCTTGACAAACGACACCCGCCTGCCAGACACAACGCCGCTGAAGCTAGATCGCAGGAGAGGCACCACCTTGTCGCCGCGCGCACAGGAGAGGGAGAGGGCGCCCGAGTTGGGCTCCTGGGATTTTGAGTCGGCGCGCGAGGATCGGCAGCTGGACGATACCAGCGAGTTCAACAAGCACTTGCAGGAGGCGGGCCAGGCGCCGTCGGGCTGAACGTCGCACGTCACTGGGGCGTACTTGGTGGAGGCGGAGCGGAAGGGCTACATCCGCCAACAGCATCGGCTTGCCCATCTGCTTGCCGAGAGGGCCCAGGGCGCGCGTCGCAGTCAGTATCGCGCGACTCCACAGCCACGACCATCGGCTCGTTCAGCGACAGAGCACTTGGCAAACGCGGGCGCGGACGGAGGTGCGCCAGCAATGTGGGGGCTCACGAAACTTAAGTTTTTTGACGGATTCCGACACGCGCGCGCGACGATGCGCGCGCGTGCACTTCGCCCCAACTGTTGCAAAAGGATTTTTGAAAACTGATGATTTGTGATGCGCGCATTGTTGTTGTTGCAGAGGATGGCGGGGGGGGGGCCGGCTGGGTTGGGATGGTACGAACACATACTTAGGATGGGTGAAGGGACAGAATCGCATGCAAATTGACATGCGGAAAGGGGGCGGATAATCTTTGGGGGGATGGAGTGTATTTTTGTTGTTCACAAAAAAGAGGATCTACGCGGTGCAATTCATTTACACAAGTTGACACATCCCATGCCTTTGCAAAAATATCACCCACCCACCCGCAACTTTGTTTGCATAAGCCATGCGGCGGCGATTGCGATGAGCGCTTGGCGTTGGCTGGTGCGTCTCTGCGGCCGGGCTACCCCGCGCACGCTCGCGCCCGCAGCGGCCAGCTAGTTTGGCGCGACCGACGCGGCCGCGGCGGCGCCGACCGCTTGGCACTTCCCAGCGGGAACTTCAGTGCGAGTCGGCGACTTGGGCGGGCGCGGTATCACGGCGACGATGATGACGATGGCGGCGATGACGGCGGCAGGGCCAATGACGGCGCCGACGTTGATCACGTCCGCCGATAACGATGACGATGTCTTCGCGTAGGCGATGAAGGTATTTGAAGGAATTTCGACACGCGCGCGCGACCGAGGCGCGCGAATGGCCCGCGTGGCATTATTAGACACGGGTCGCGCCCCCCCCCCGCCCCCGCACGCGCGCAAGAGCGCTCGAATGAGTTCGACATGCGGCGCGAGAGGCCCGTTCGGCAGATTGTCATGCGCATGTTGAACTACCGATGGTTTTGTGAAGAATCCGCAAGGTCAGGTGTTTTATATGTTTTCGGGACAGACGTTCCTGAAATCTTTACGAACCTATGGTTGTTGACGGACTCCGGCAACGACTTCGGCAACGACGCGCGCAACGACGCGCGCTCGTGCACTCCGTCCCTTTTGTTGCAAGGAGCTGTTGCGACAAGAGCGCGCAAGGGCTTTCGAACGATTTCGATATGCGCGCGCGAGAGGCCCTGTTGGCAGAATTGCATGAAAAATGATGACAAGCTCGTTTTCTTAGAAATTCACAGGACCGCGGGCACAGGTTTTGTTTGAAACTATTCGTTGCAAAACCATGTCTTTCTAAATGTTGTCGCGATTCTTCGTTTTGAAATCCTTAGGGAACTGTTTGAAGGATTCCGACATGCGCGCGCGACGACGCACGCGTGCGCATTTCGTCCCCTTGTTTGCGAAGGATGATTGAACATTATTGTTTTTAATTTGCGAGTGCGAGCGCATACTATCTTTTGCCGAAGGTTAATGGGGGGGGGGCGATACCGGCCTTCCTGGGATGGCACGAATTTATTTTCAGGCTGGACGACGGGGCAGAATCGTATGAAAAATGCAAGACGAAATTGTGGGCCATTAAGTCCCACGGGGGGGGGGGTCGATCCTGACTCTTCCTTGGAGAGGAGAATATACGCGGTACAAACTATGCGGCGCAATCTATGCGAGGCGGCGACGGCGGCAACATAGCCGCCAGACCGACGCTCAGCCGCAGACGTCGGGTGGCGACGAAGCGGCGACGGGGCGGCGACAGTGGCAACATAACCGCCAGACCGACGCACATGCCCAGCGCTTTAGAAAAGAAGTAAGAACCTGTTAAGTGCAAGCAAGAATGTGTTGGAAAAGCGCTGCTTCCTCCCAAAGTTGCATAAACAGTTATAGCACCATAACTTGTTGTTGCTATGTCGGTTAATCGTGGGAGTTTGGAATCCAGCGCGCAGGGGATCCCCCAGGTTTTGCGACGAAGGAATCAACAGCAGAGGGCGCCAAAATTGAAGCAGACGCGAGAGAAGCAGCATCGAGACAGAAGATGGGAACTCGCCACGTGGGGTACGTTCGACAGGGGTGATCTGAGGTCGTCCGCACCCCCCCCCCAGTCGTCCGTACCCCCGCCCCCATCCCCCTATTTTTTGTTCCTCCCTCGCCTCCAAGTTTTTCGGCCGCGTCAACGAATGACTCCTGCCGTGGCGCTAATTTAATATTCGACGGACTCGCGCCCCTCAGGTGCAGTCTTTCCTCCCCCTCCTCCTCCTGCTCATAATTTTCCTGTTGTCCTCACCCCTCCGTTTTCCCCGCCCCCCCTCCGTCCTGCGCGCGGCGAAGGAGGAGGGAGAAGGAGGAGGAAGGCTCATCTCCTGCACGCGGCGAAGGCTCTAGGAGGGAGCAGAAGGGGGAAGAGCACCTGGGGGGCAGAGGGGCAGGAGGGAGGAGGGAGAAGAGGAGGGGGAAGAGGAGGAGGAGAAGGAGGAGGAGAAGGAAGAGGAGGAGGAGGAGGAGGAGGAGGAGGAGGAGGAGGAGGAGGAGGACGAGGAGGAAGAGGAGGAGGGGGAGGAAGAGGGAAGACGAAAGCAGCAGTGTCGGCGTGCCCTTCCCCCTCCCTCCCCCTCCACCTGCTCTTGCCCCCGGACCTCGCGGGGGCTGGGGCGCAGGGCCGCGGAAGCGCTGCAGCTCGCGGAGGGCGACGTGGAGCGAGCGGTGGCTCACTTGTTGCGCGGCTGAGGAGGGCGTCCTCCTCTCTCCCTCCTTTTCCCGTCCTCCTCCTCCTCCTCCTCCTCCTCCTCCTCCTCCTCCTCCTCCTCCTCCTCCTCCTCCTCCTCCTCCTCCTCCTCCTCCTCCCCGGGCTTCGGCCCCCTGGCGGAGGCGGGGACCGCTGGGCCCTCGGGGCGAAAAGCCCCCGCGCTCCGGGGGACGCCGCCACCGGGGGGGTCGCCAGGTCCCGTGGCTTCCTCCAGGGCGGTGCTGGGTCCCCCCCAGCACTCGCCGCCCTGGGGCGGGACCGGCGGCTCGTCTTTGTCGTGTCGTTCGTCCGTGTCGTGTCGTGCGTGTCGGTCGTGGCCGTTTCGTCCCCCGTCGTGTCGTGTCGTGTCGTGTCGTGCCGTTTTTTTTTGGGGGGGGTCGGTCCTGGGGTCCGGTCCTTTTTTCGGTCCTGGGTTCCGGTCCTGGGTCCCTGGGGGCGGGTGGCGCGGCGCCGTCTTTTTCGCTAAAGGCGGCGCCGCGCAGCCCCTTTTTTGGGGGCCACCGTCGTTTTTCCCCGTGTCGTGCCGGCCAGGCTCGCCCGCCGGCCGGGCGCGCGGGGCGCCGCGCCGGGGCGGCGGGCGCCGCGACGCGTCGCTGGGCTGAATGCGCGCGGTTGAGGGAAAAAAATCCTCCTTCTCCTCCTCCTCCTCCTCCTCCTCCTCCTCCTCATCATCATCATCAGCATCATCATCATCATCATCATCATCATCATCATCATCATCATCATCATCATCATCATCATCATCCTGCCGCGCGGCGGAGCGGCGGCCCCCTCCGCGGCGCGGCCGCGCCGGCGCGGCGGCCGCAACGCGGCCCTCGCCCCGAAAAAGTGCTCGGGCTGGCGGTCGCGAGGCCGACTGGCGCGATGCGCTGCAGGCGCGCTCGGCGCAGCGCCCGGGACCGCCAGATTGGTTCGCAACTCGGGCAGTTTGCGTGCAGGCTGCGTGCCCCCCGCCCCCCCCCCCCCCCCCGCTCCTCCTTCCCTCCACCCCCTCCCTCTTCGGCCGCCTCTCTGCGGCCGACTTTCTTCGCTGAGTGAAAAGCAGTCAGTATCGTTTGACCGATCCCCATCCCCATCCTCATCCCCTTGGAGACCCCCACCAAATTACCACCCCAGTTGGGGATATGCCATTCGAAACCCGAAGGGAACGGCCTATCTCCCCATCTAAGGGTGTAAGTCGGCCAGTGGGGCCCAGGCCACGCCGCTGGGGATGGGGGTCGGATAAACGATGCTCAAGCAAAGGGGTTGGGTGCACAGAAGGCTCCTGAAAACGATTGCGCGACAGTGACCGACGTTTTTGGGGGCCTTCGGGACCCAGGGTGTGCTCCATCAGCTGCGCCTCACCGGGAGGGGGACCAGAATTGTCCCAAGAGGCCTCTTGGGTCCCGAGGTATATATAGTCCAAAAACCACAAGGAAGGATGCTGGAGTAAGCCAATCCCGACTGATGGTTTAGCTTGCTTGGACGCGACAGCTACGTGATTCGGCCCAGTGAAGCGCATCCCCGAGAAAGCGACGACGGGGTTGGCGGCGACGACGGCGAACGGCGGTGGCTCGCTGTTCGAGGTTCGGGGGCAGAGGCCTTCGCCAGCTTTTACATCGTTTTGGGCATCCAGTGGCTATGGCAGGTGTTTTTGTTGGCCCTTCTGGTCCCTGGGCGACGCCTTGGGCACCGCCCTGGAGGCGTTGGGATGCCGGGGGTGTCGATAGCAGATTCAAGAAATCCACACAGACCTCCGAAAGTTTATGATGTGTAGGTCCGACGTTTTCCGTTGTAGTGTTTCTTCAGGCGTGGGCCCAGGATCGCCATGCATAATCCATGATCCGTACAGTACGTGCGCAGGGCGAAATCCAGAGGCCGCTCTCATGACACATGGGCTGCAACGGATCGGTTGCAGCACATAAGTCCCACATCGCGCGCACACGAACCTGTCGTTTGTGGCCCGCGCTGACGTCCACCACAGTAGATCATCAAAGCCAAAGAGGCGTCGGCGGACACACGTTTCGATATTTGGCCAGCAGCTTCTGTGTTCGCCACTTCCGTCTAAACACCTACTTCGTTCCGCTCGACTGCTCGCCCGCGAGGCAGCAACGGAGCCCAAGCAGCATGGCAGCACAAACCGAATCGTCTTCGGCGACGGTGGA